TTCATCAAAATCCAATGAGTGGTTGTTTAGATATCAGTGGAACAGTCATGGAACCACTAAAAAATAGCTAATTATCATGCAAATTAGGTAATTAATATGCACGGATTTTTACCAAAAATTAATCAAATCTGCGCATATGTTCAGAGCATCTATGTACCAAGTTTCATCAAAATCCAATGAGTGGTTCTTTAGATATCAGTGGAACAGTCATAGAACAGCTAAAAATTAGCTAATTATCATGCAAATTAGGTAATTAACGAGCATGGATTTTTACCAAAACCTAATCAAATCTGCGCATTGGCCCAGAGCATCTATGCACCAAGTTTCATCAAAAACCGATGTATGGTTCTTGAGATAGCAGTGGAACAGTCGGACACACATACACACATACACACATACACACATACACACATACACACATACACACATACAGACACACTAACTGCAAAGACTCCCATTTTGTGCTTCGCACATGGGAGTCAAAAATAGTTGATATGTTGAAATGTGCACTATGAATACCATTATGCAAATTAGCACTATGAATACCATTATGCAAATCTGCACTATGAATACCATTACGGTCTTTGTACAAACTATGAACAAAATCGGTCAAGGTATATCCCAGATCAAAGAAACTTTAAAAAGAACTTCTGTGTGCTGAGATTTTCTATGAACACTTGTGCATCAAGGTTCATTTAAATTTGATGAGTGATATTAGAGATATCAGTGGAAAATTTATGCAAATTAGGTCATTAACATGCTAACAATTGTGAAGTAATCAGGTCTGTGGATTATCAAAGGGCACCTATGCACCAAGTTTCACTTAAATTTGATGAATGGTACTAGAAAACCTATAAATTTGCTAATTCATACAAAGTAATCAGTATGCACAGAATTCAAACCCTAAACTGAAGACTAAATCCAAGTGGTTCTTGAGATATCAGTAGAAAAAAAAGGGCAACTGCAAACAAAGACTTTGATTGTGTACTTCAAGGTTCATTGCGAATAAAGTGATGATCAATATATTGTTATTTGGTTCATATAAGCAGTTGGAATAACAATTTTGAAAAGCCACCACACCTCTATCATTTTTGTCCATTTCACAAGTACCTGAGCAAATAGTCAAATTTTCCATCTATACAGTAGTGACAGCCAAAAAAAACAAATCACTTCCTCCATAATTAGGTGCACTTTTTTATTATTTTCCCAGTTGTTTCTACATGTTTCCAAATTCATTTTTTTTTTATTTCAATTACCCCTCCAAATTCCTCCAGGTAAAGCCCTAAAGTGAAAATATACATTTACATTTAAGTATTAAATGAAATTCTTTATCATTAAGCAGTTTATCAGAAGAGGTAAACGACCAGTCAGACACGTAACTAGGTTATTGACAGTTCCTTCAAAGTTCAGCTACCTAGATTAGGCCTCAATGGAGTTATGGTAGTTATTATTTCAATCACATCAGTAGAATCAGAAAGTGATTGTACCCTTGAAACACAATTTAAAGGTATTGTTAAATGAAGCCTTATTCAACCAAGTAGTACAGTTTCAAGTTTCTTGGACCTCACATTTCATGTTGCTTTGTAGATCTAACTGTAATCTGAAATCAAAATTACCCGGTAATTTAAAATTCAAGATTAGCTTTTTAAATAAGAAACCCAGTGACTAATATAGGCGAGCTATTTGAGATGCACAATGTGAAAAAATGATCTACAGTATTGATTTATAATAATCACAAAAAAACCCTCATTAAAATAAAGAAATGAATTTGAATGTACATCTGTGGTTTGCAGTCTGATTTCACCCAGAGCTCCAATGCACAGTGTAAAATATAAAGATTATTTGGGGATATCGATATAAAAAGCACACCAGCATTTGTATGTAGACTATCATGACTTATCTTTGTAACAAATTTGAACAAAGTTCGAGAAATGGTGTTTGCCTGACAGAAAAAAACTGACTAAAACAAGACTGATGGGACTACATCCGATAAGGACAAAGATATGTCATATACACCTCATCATACTCGCTGTCAGAATCCTCTCTCTCTACATATTCCACATTGCTTCTTTCATTATAGCCTCCACCATATCCCGTACGTTCCTCTATTTTACCCATCTTAGGTGTATGGCACATGTTGCATTCATTGCGGCGGGCCCAGTTTACATTTCCACATCTGGTAACAAAATAAAGAAACAATTAATCTTATTTTATGAAGGTAATTATTTACAATACATGTTTGTTCAACGAAAATCTTGAAGAGAAGTATGTGAGCTTACTGTGAAATGTTTTATTTTAGCTGGAATTAATTTTTGCTGAAAGGCATTTTTGGGTGTTTGTATGGAATTTATTTTCACTGATTTTTGGCGAATTGAATGTAAAATATAGGAATGAAGGTATATTCTTTGGATTTTATTTTCACTGAATCACCCCTTTATAGTAAACCCACGTGTAGGGGGGATTTTAAGTACTGTAAAATCTGTATTAGAAGCCGCGGCTTCTATTAAAATGGTACAATGCAACAGAGGGGATGCGGCTTCTATTAGAGCATCTACACATATGAGAAATGATGAATTTTTAGTTCTCAATTATTCAAATAGTATGGATGCGACTTCTATTAGGGATGCGGCTTCTAATACAGATTTTACGGTACCATATTTGCTCTATTGCTTTATGTGTGTTTCTCTTGGAAAAATAAAGCAAACACAGCACAAGAAAATTATTATCCATTTTTCATAAGCCTCTCAACAGGTCAATTACGTCAACACAAAAAGTTGATATCCACATAAGTACAATAACAAGATCACAACTTACGTTTTACACTGCCAATCATTAGCACTGAATAAACCTCTGCTTTTTTCAGCTGCAGATTTACCAATTTCTATTCCACCAGCTTTAAGTTTGGTATTAGACTTATCTGAAAATTGAAGTCACTTGTTATTACAGGCAAAGTTATTCTTAAAAAGTTCTCTTAACTATATTATATTATGCCCAGTATAAGTAAAGATAGCAATTTGCAACAAAATTTCACAATTGTTCACAAGATTTATCAAAATTTCACCTCAGCAATATAACCTACCTTTTCCGCAACGATTACAACTCCTTCTTCTTGCAAAGTTGACATTACCACATCTGTCAAATACAAAATGTAAACAGAAATGAGCGTGAAACCTCAGACCACTAATAGACTGGCAACGCTATTGTTTAGAGGTGTCAATCGGCTTAATCCCCTGCAAACTTGTGTCTCGGCTATGCTGGTGTCTCACGTTTCGCCGAATGGCGAGTACATCGGGAATCCTCTGCCTCGCATGCATTTCAGTTTAGATCAGATCACCCGGAAACAAGAGAGTTTTACGTTGAGTTGCCAAATAATATATTTTTTAGCCAAAAATTGACCATATTTTAGGAAAGTATATGTATGTATAGTATGTATAGACTATAGTAATG